GCCCTCGTTCTTCCAGCTGAAAGTTCTAAATTCTGCGCGACGCAAAATTTTATCGATATTCTCTAATAAATTCGAATGGGCCGTTCGAGATTCCCAATCCTAGTTGTAAATATTCAAAGTTTTTATTCCAATCAGTTTTTCTCCCTACTGTTCCGCGAGTCTCTGCTTCTAACACCCATTTCCATTCTAACATGGCCACATCACGAGAAGAAGAAGGAACAATCGAAGTTTTACTCGAGATGGATTTCCGGATGAAAAAAAAAAAAACTTTCTCGAAGGGGTTTGTGTACGGCCTGAAATTGAACCTCGAAATTCTCGATGGATCGTTATGGTAAATTTCGGCGAAGCCTCTTCTGAATGCATGATTTACGTTCAAAGTAAATCATCTGGCGTTGTGCGTGCCTTTCAAATTACAATGAACCCTTCATCATTTTAGATGTAAAATCAGATGGGAAAAAATAAGCCGTCATGCCACTTGTGAGCCTAATTTTTTTTAGCAATTATTTTCCATTCTTAATTTATGCGATGTGTCTTCTTCGCTTCTTTTACTTTATGTTCATTAATCTTTGACAATTTCCGATATGCCTCGCGTGCCGACATTTGGGCAATTATAATTACAAGAACTATAATTACATCGTTGTGCTATGAAAAAAAAGATCTTCATGTTTTCGAACATAATCAAGAGCTTAAAAAACTTAACGAAACAAAAACTCTTGATAAATAAAGTAATATAACAATTAATAATAATTTATTACAACCACTTGAAAATTTTGCACAAAAAGAAAAATATAGTGCATTACGAGATGCAAATATTGCAAGAAAATAATATATTTGTCAAATATAACCAAAAACAGCAATTTTATAATACAAAATATGATATCCATGCGTTTTATAAAAAAATACATATTTCTCTTTTCATTGTACCGAGCACATAAGACGTGTGACGCGTGTGTTATCAACGACCTGCGAAGGTAGGGGAAATTAAATTAAATTTAAATTAAGTTCAATTAATTAAGCCGCTTCCCCCGTGGGAACTACGCTTCTGCGCTCACTCGTTGTCCCTGAAATTCACTTCCTGTGAAAGGGCTGCCAGTTAGGATAGTGATCCTTGTTTGGCTCCGAATACGAAACTAATCTCTTTTAAATTAGTATTAAATTCTAAACGGTCCCGAGTCTGTACGTGGCGTTATTAAATTCCGCTGTGGTGCCACGTGTTGCCGTGAAATTTTCTCGCTTCGAGCGAGTCGGACCCGATATTTTACACTGATCATAAATACGGTGGACTCCTCTATTACGTTCCGGTAGCATTACGATTTCTGCAATATACGGTGTAATCTTTCATCTCTGAAATTGTCTCGACAAGATTTAAAGACCGCTTCGAAACATCTGTGAATCTTTAATGATATCCGATTGATATATCTTACGCGTATTCATGGATCTATTCACCTAACATTTTTAAATCATACATGAAAATACATGAAAAGAAATAATTCTGATAGCGATGACATTTTTCATCATATGTCGAACACATAGTAAAACAGCATTGGTTGCCGTAAATACATAAGTAAAAATTAATTAAAGATGTATAGAAAATTAATTTTCTTTCTGCAAGTATTTGTTCGATATAACAGCAAATAAAACAAGCGCGTCATGATTTCGCGCGTTCAAGTTTTCGATTATTATTTTCGATTATTATTTAAACTTGCATTCTGCTACAATTTAATTTAGAATCGCATACATAGAATCCGTAATCGATGCTGCAAGTGGCAGGTCTCAAGACACCGGCACCAAAAGAGATATACGATAACGACAGACAATTCGAGCGAGCCTTCGAAACGCCATAGGTATCGTGCCAAAGAGCTGAGACTATCTTAGTCCCTTCTAGTAGCTACTATGTGCTTACACATACACACTTCCATGTATATATGTGCTTCGGTATTTAAGCAACCAATTACGTTGTATACCGAGCGATCGTAACGGAGGATCGTAATATGGAAGCGGCGACTGGTGCTGGTGCTACCTTATAAATTTCACTGAATTGGCTGCGCCGCGCCAAAGAGTCACGAGGCACGCATAGTCGGCAATAATGACACCGGGTGCGATATTAAAATTTCCAATCCAAAAATAAGGGCCGCTGCCCGTACATTACGCGACGCAAATTTGCCATGTGCACTTTTCCGCGCTAACTACTGATAGTGCGATCGATATTGCAATATTTGCATTTTCACAAAACGGAACAATTTAAAATCGAAAGAACGTAGGTAAATAAAACTAATACAATTAACGTGATTACATAATTAATATAATTTGTGTATCGATATACTTCGACTATATGAGAAAATTTTTATTAGTATAAATAAAAAATGATTTACAATACAAAGATTTTTTTTAAATATTTTAATTTATATACTTATATTTTTAATTTTTTCTTATATTCAATTATTCAAATATTATTTAATATTTATAATATACTCAAGAATGATAAGTGATATCACTTTTAAATATTTCTCAACGCGACATAATTATTATTTATGATTTTAATTATTTATACGTGCAATTTTTTACCGGTGATATTTCTTGGTCCTTTATCCCGAAGCACGTTCTAATATGCTCGAAAGTTTCTTTTTACTTTAAAACAAGTGTAATTGTACCTTCGGAATTTTCTTTCTTGAAATAGTCCCAAACGATGTTCTTCTCTCACACTAATAGAACGCATCTACGTGCATCGCGAAACTTGCAAAATATTTTCTAAAAGTTGTGGCTGTGCACCGCGAGAGAGGTCACGTTTCTGGTTAGAGGCTGAATCTACCGAGAAAGAGAGAGACTGAAAAATGAATCTTCTCCGCCGAGAGACGAGATGGGTGCCAGGACAGTCATACATTTCGTACAAAAGGGCCTTCCACAGTTCGACTTTTTTTAGTAGGAAACTATTGCATGCCGACACGTAGAGCTGCTACTTCTCCATATTTCATGACAATGAATTAAAAGTAGACGTCGATGCAAACTCGGTAAAATTATTTATTCAATGATGGAACTCCAAACGATACGGTCATTTGTTAAATATTACATATATAAATCCAAAAAAACATTTGTTCTCGTATTATAGGAAATATAAACTTCACGCTTTTTATCGCGTTAATCAAAAGAATTGAAAATAAATAAAACGACATAATTTAACGATCGAGCTTTCGAATAAATAAGTATTTTAGTATGTCAGAATAGTGAAAACTTTAATCATTCTACAAAACTTTAATCATCCTACTTTTAATGTGTAAATTCTACCTTTTTTTCGTCACTTAATGTCACTTCGAGTATCTTGCTTTACGTAGCTCTCGATCCTTTATACCTTACTACCTAAGTAAATAAATCACCGTCTCAATATGTTCAGCACCAGGCAACGATTATTCACGCTAAACAAATAGACGATAAGCACGGTGATTATTACATTGAAAAATAATTCGTAAACTCATTAAATAATAAACAAGAATAATTACTCAGCTATTGACATAATAATAATCAATTGTTAAAGCTGCAAATAAATATATCTCCAAATTAATAAACTAATTTATATGAGCGACACAAAGTAAAATGGGAGGACATTAATCCTGTATAAAAAAATATCTGTATCAAAAATATAAAAAACAAAAAGTAATTCGCGTGGTAATAGTATACGTTACGTGTCATACATAGAGCTATTGCCCTTAGCGAAACGATTAGCCTATCGCATATACGGCGGGAGAGCCTATAGAGGGAAAGACATGCTGTGCAGAAAGGGGTCGCCGCTTGAAGCATGGGATAAATACAGGCGATGTTAATAAAGTCTTATCGGCGTGAGGCCATGCGTGTCGACTTAAAGCCATGAACGCACTAATCCGCTATGCTAATGTCAGCCTGCCGGGAAAACAGTCGAGTAAGGTAATGCAGTCTTCCCTGGCATGCGTATCTCTATAGAACGACGTCGTACCATATCTCACTACGTATGGGATTGCGGTTGAAATAGCTACGAAAGAGCCACGTCTATTCAGTCTCTCCGTTCTGTAACGCGGGAAATAATCGCGTACGAAAGGTTTAAATAACCGCTTTCGAAGGTTGTAACATGAATTAGAGAATTTGTATCCAGAAGTATCGTTTCGTCGTGTCCCATCTCGGCGATAATTTTTCCGAAATATCTTCCATTTCCGACGTCGGACACTCGTGTATCATACGATAGGAAGGAATGAGAATGAGGAAAAAGCGAGCGCATTCCACGTAGCGGATTCGGCATATCATATTTACGACGCGGACACGACGTAATCCGGAACATTGTATAATGCGCGGCAAATCGGAAAGGAGAAAAGAATTCGATGGCAGATAGCCTCGCGAATAAAATCCGAGTTGACGTAACGCAGAAGCATAACGTGTCTCATCTCGTAGTGACTTGTATGCTATGTCGGTATTCCATGCATATATTTTTTAAATTCTTTCCTGAGGTGCAACTCGGATATTTGATTTCTCCTCTTGCTTCCTCCTTTGTTTATCATTTCACTAATAGTAATGACATTATTGCGTGTGAAAAGTAATAATGACGATGTAAAACGATTGTATAAAGCGATTTGTTACTAATGCTTAAGGAGTAAAAATATCGCGGCCAGCAATGAAATTATGCAATAGTCAATATCTGCAGAATAATGATAATCTGCAGAATAAATTATAATGATATCTTTCACTAGTGTAATCAAATAATGTCTAGTGTCAATTAATTATGCGACATATGAAAAAATAAAAATTGAAATTATATAATTTAGATTCTAATAGGCATAAGGTATAACGTTAATAAATTAGAAATGCAAATTTTTACTCTTCTACACAATCTATAAATTTCTGCATAATCTGCAGAATTTTACTATTTTCGTTTAATCCATCTAGATTTGTGATTATTGTAAATTATCGAGAATTTTGCATGCATATCTATTTGCTAAACTAACTGTAAATTAACCTACATATGAATACACAGAGAGAAATTTCATTTATATTCATTCACGTGACATTTATTCAAAACCAATGCGAATGCATCGAATCTTCCATGTCTACGCTTTCAGACTAATTAATACATTATTATAAGATATTTTTAATATTTACTCAATTTTTTTTCTCAAGTACGATTTTCTATAATAGTCTAAGAACATATAGAACATGAAGGCAACTTGAGATATGTAAATGTATGCTAATGGTTTCCGTGTTGGCTCGCAAGACGGTAGAAGCGCTTGAAATGTATGGACCACCATAATAACAAATTGGATCTGAAACAAAGAATATTATGTTGAGTTTCAGCATAACAAATGAAAAGATATACATTTACAACAATCATCTCGTGCAATTTCTTTCACAGTTGAAAGTTTGCGGACCAATGAAACACCTAGATACTTTTAGAATTCATTCCAATAAAAGAAAAATTGTAAAATAAATATTTAAGCGTTTTATTAATAAACTATTATTATAGATATAGATTATAGAACTGTTATAAAGAAAATATAAATAAAGATTCAGAACATAAGCTACATAAAAATGGCAAGGACACAGCACATGCTTTACAAATACGATGTACCATGCAAAAAAGCAAACGCCCATTTTGCCCTCTCTTGTCCAGACCTCTGACTGGAATTCTAGAGCGCAAAAGCTCCGCGCGAAATTAAACAACCACGTAACCCGATAAATCGTTCCGTCGATATCGCTGGAAATAAAAATTCTCTGGTAACGGATTATTTAATTAAAAACGGTACTGCGAGCCTTCGTCCACCCGTCTCTCTGCCTCGCGCTGTTACGCTCAAATGCAAACCGAATTGAGATTCGACGAGAACACATGTGATTCTACAAGCAGCGCTTACGGAGCTTTTCAATCCTTCGTGAAAAGCCAGTTATCGAGTTATGGAAACGCTGTAACCACAATGAAGTCCGCGCATATATGAACATATCACGCGAAACGCGTTATTCCGCATATCCGCATGAATCTGGTATAGGCACTTCTCAAAATTATGAAATTGGACGAGAAAATATCTTATTATCTTAAAGCTGCGATGACTAAAGATGTGTTAGAACATCGTATATTGTATGATGACGAATTGACATAAAATAACTACCTACCAATTGTAAGCGAGTCACATGTTTCTTCCAAGGAGTTATTATCTTCTGCATTTTAGGTCCCAAACAAGCACAAAAATAATATATGTACATAACTACATGTACTGCACAATTAGGTAACATTATAAAAGTCCACATACCACCTGTATATTAAATAAAACATGAAAGTAGATTATATACAGATAGTATTAAAAATCAATATGCACATTTCAATATCTTCATTGATTAAAAACATAAATTCTATAAAACAGTGACTGAAAGCTTTCTTTTAAAGTTATTCCTATTATTTAATACATACCAGGTGCATATTTACAGGAAATCCACGCTAAAAAAAGAGTCACTGTGTGGTGATACACATGAAGAAATGAAATTTGATTATATTTTTTTCTGAGAATAAAAATGACTGTATCTGCAAGTTCAACAATTTTCAGCATTAAAACCCACCATACCCATCGAGCCATCTGTAAATAATAAAATTTAATTTATCTCGAGAGTTTTGTATTAAAGACTCTTACATTGATCGATTTTCAATTACACTTATATTACAATAAATTATGGGAAACTTGACCTAAATATTTTTAACATAGACTTTAACGAATAGTAATTAAAATCTAATTTTATCATAGATTTTATCATATTTTATACGTTTATACATATTTTAATCATAACTAACTTACTTACACTAAGTGACATGGAATCGCTTGAAATTACAAAGGGCTCACATCCTGTAGAAAGATGCGTTGTATAACCAGATGTGAGTATCTACAAAGAACAGACAAGATTAGATAGTTTAAATTTAAAAATGCAAATAATGAATAAAATAATATTTACAATTAAAAATTTTATCATACTTAATGTTAATTGTATGTATTTACACCATAGAATATAATAGCGTTTGCACTTGCGACAGAAATATTATAACATATCATGATTTTGACAAGCGCGTAAGGTTTCCTATTCTTCATATAAAGTGGTCCAAGATAAAGCACAAACGACAAATAAACAATTGAAATCAACGTTACTACTAGCGGATTTGACATTAAAGGCCAGTCAGAAACTCTGGGATCTGCAAATTAAAGAAAAGATTTTTAAATATTAGTAGGAAATATTTCTAATAATATATTTAAAAGAGATACTTATAACAAAGATTGTATGAAGAAGTAATGCAATGCGTATATAAAAAAATAGAAAAATAGAACTTGTGTGGTTGCTAAAGGATAAATTAAAGATATTATTCAATGTGTTTTTTTATTTACTTAACAAAATAACTATTTTTCTCTTTTAAATTAAATTATTTTATATTATTATTTCTTTGTTTTTATATACACTATAATATTATATGTTATATATAACTTTATATAATTTTTTTTATACACATAATATATTCAATTCTTTCGCTTATCTAACTTACCCGAAATATCATTGACAAGGTAGTAATAAATATCCATAATTCCCATATTCTTGAAAGTAAAAACAACAAAAGAAAGATATAAAACAATTTATATTAGTAATAGAATTAAATTCAAAGAAAATTTAATAATTGATAAATATATAAATATAATATAGAGAGAAATAAAAAATATCACATTATAAATATGAAGTTATGGAGTGATGTTGTACATAGAGGAAAGAGAATTATGATTATAAGCAAAACTCTTATAATCGCTAAATTTTTATTAAGCAGTTGATTAATAAACCGTAATATTTGAATAAATATTTAATATAGGCAAATAATATTTTAAATATTAAAATATTTTTATATATTGTATTATAATATTTTATGAAATATTATAAATATTATAATATTATAGTTTTTATATTACAAATTTTATATTATATAAATTTTAACTTATTTCAACTTATAAAACATAATATCAGTAATGGTGGGATTAAAGAATTGTTGAGTCTTAAATTTTTAATAAGTAATTTAATAGAACGAAATATAAACTCATTGAAAACTAAGTGATAATTAAAATACATACCTTTGAAGAAAGATTTGGCAGACTCATTCCATATCGTGATTCTAATTTGTACAAGTCTGCCGACATTTAAGAAATTAACACTTGTGCACTTATTGGTGTTACACCCTTCGCGTCGATAATCTACTGCGCTTTACGCTCACTGTAGGCCAAGAACCCCTACGTCGGCTTAGAATGCAGGGTTGTAATTAACGAATATGTAACCCCGAATATGTAACGAATATGTGACAACCATCATCAAAAATTATTAAAATAAGCATAAAATAAAGAAAATTTATATAATAAAATTATTTTATATAAAATAAGGTATTTTTCTTACACAATATCAAAAACATGTCCAATTTTATAGGGATCTTTAATACATTAATAAATTTTTAAACATTTTAATGTTGTAAAATTACTTTTACGTGTATGTTATAAGCAAATTAAAAATTCATAGACTAGTAATGTTAATTTTAATTTTTTAATGTATATTTAATATTTTTTTATATAATGGAAAAAAATTTATATTTTAATAACATTTTTATAATTCATTTTTCAAATAGATATATTGGTAATAAACTTTGATATGATTTTAATTAGTTAGTAGTAATAACATTTACAGAAAAATATTTTATGTATAAAGTTTTCTTTAGAATGTACAGTCATGGTGATGAATTATATTCCAGTTATAGATATACGGCTTCTTCTTAGTCATTTAAATGTGTATTAGACGACTTGTCTTGATATTACGATTTGAGTTGAGAAGATAGTCACGAATTGATCTTCTTTTAGTATTAGAAATTTACTGCTCGACCTCCCCTAATCAGATTATCCAACTGCTGCGTTTCGTATAATTGAACTGGACAAATTGATTTTCGTGTCCGGAATTCGTTATTTCTTCTTTCCTTTCTGTCCCTGCAGAAATCAAAATGCAGATGTATGCTTTTGCATTTTTGAAAGAATTTGTTTTTAGAATCAGAAAATAATAATTTATTTAAGTTCACATGTAGAATTATATACAAGTAAAGAGAACACTTATGTAATACATTATGGCCATTATAATATTAAATATAAACATAGAATGATGAAAATAATTATTAAACAATTTAGTTTAAAAATATTTATAATATATCTATGGAATAAAATTTCGGGATTATGAAATATTTATTAAATATCTTATCTGAATATTTTTTAAATTCTAAATATGTAGTAAATATTCTGTTTTTATTTGCATTTTTAAATAATATTTTAAATAAATAGAAAACTGATATTTGTGAAATAATGATTGATAATTAATTGTAAAAATTATGGATTCTTTTTTGGTTTTAGTATTATCTAAATAAAAAAAGTGAAGCTAATTAAATTTATGTATATATAATTGCGTATATAGATAGAATATACATAAACATTTTTAATAAATTGTAAAAAAATATAATTTAATACTATCTTTTCGTCGATGCCATCTATATATTTTAAAAGTAACATCATTAAAAGATGTATCGATAAAATGTTTATTATCGGTCGCTATCAAAAAACTATTTTATTTAATATAAAATTGTTTATTTTTTTATAAATAATATATACACATTAAAAGATAGCTAACTGATATATTTATTTTACTATTAAACATGTAGGGTTACCCACCAATGATAGAACTTCCACTTACTGGCAGAGGTTTATATAGAACTTACATATGTATACTGAAAACAATTTTTTAATCAATAATCTTCTCTTTATTTATCTTTAAAAACATAGATCTAAATTATTGAATAATTAAGGTATTTAAAACGTAATGATTATCATATGTCGAGTTATGATAAGACATTATAGCGCCTCGTATCAGTTAAATATGATTCGTAATATTGTTGAAAATTTTGTTTTACACACGTACTGTTGCCTTGAGAATTGTTTACCGTAAGCCGTGGCTTACATTGTATGTAACACGGCGCGTGCCATGTTTACGCGCTCCGCGTGTTCTTTTAATACCTTTTAATCAAATTACGTATCACAATGATTCTCGAAACTGTAATAAAATCGAAACTGATAAGAGTTCGCAGTAATTGATGCGTGAATTTATTCAAAAAATTATAATTTGTGTTTAACACCGAGGTAAACATTCGTGATATAAAAACGAATAAAAGTAGTCCGAATCTTTCGGCTCTGTATTGAGCCATCAAGAGAAAAATTGGTAGGGAAGGCTACTTTTACCTTTATATTGCATTTTGCATAAGTGGCTGCATTTAAAATTTGATAAAGGGAATAAAAGAAGCATCTTTGATGAAAAGAAATGGAAACACTTTTATAAAAGGAGGAGATAAAGTATATGCCATCTAATCTTGATTAAGAGACTATGTTAAATGCATTAGACGAAATACATTAAATATGTATGCTATATCAATTAATAATCTCATATATAATCTCATATATCACCATTTCTGATACAAAATATATTAAAAATAATAAATAATGTTACATTTAATTATTAAGGTCTTAAAAAAAACAAGATACTTGATAAATCAGAATTTTTCGAGAATAATACATAGAACCATTTCATTTCTCTTATAAAATTATTTATAAAAACTTTATAAAATAAATTACATAAAGTGTTATATACATGTAGTATGTATATTTTTATATATATGCATAATAATTTCCTTAACTATTAGAAACAAAATAAAATTACATTTCAATTCTCTTATATTAAAAGTCGCAGCAATGTTTATTTCTTAAACATTTTCTTTCATTCCTTGTAAATCTCTAATGGCAATAAGAATTAATTTAATATGAGCATTAGTCTTTGCAATTGCCTTCCGCAGATTTGCAATTTGTTGTTCCAACAATTTGATCCGCACATTTATAACAATTAAAGCTTCATCCAAAGTAAACTCGACATAATGTCCCAAACCAACATCCAATAAAATCTTAGAAGCATCTGGAACATGTGCTTGAATAAAGAAATTATTTCCAATGTCGACTTTGGTTTTAAAACCGGTTTTTTCGACGTTTGTATTTTGGAACGTTGTTATCACAGATTTCAATTGTAGAAATTCAGCGACGTCTGCATTCTTAGCATCAAGTTTCTCGGCTAATTTTGCAAGATCTGCTTTCAGTACATCGTTTACGAAAGTCTCAAATTGTAAGACTTTCTGTTTAATTAGCGGATCCATAATTAATTAGGCTGCTGCAAAAAAAGCATTAGTTAATATAAAGAATGACTCGTTTGTAAAGATTTTAATAATAATGTTCAAAACAATACGTGTAAATATTCCTATGATACTTTGTATGATGTACGTAATTATAAAAGTATCAAAAAAATAATAAATGTTGAATAAATCAAACATAATGAACGTATTTTGTCAAAAGATTATAGAAACAGGTTATGTCACTTATAATAACTGTACACGTATATATCATTTGAACTTTATCTTGCATGACGACGATAATGTCATTCACGTTACTGAATCTAGATTAAAAAATACCACAATCAAAAAATTAAATTATTTTATATCTGATAAATGCAACATTTTAATACTATACCTTCTGACAGCGTAGACCACGTGTGACATCATGCGACATCTTGATCTGACGTATGATGGAGCTAAACAATAAATTCAATAGGGATGAAGCAGCAGCTGTTAAGGAAGGTCCCAATCAGTCTAACTCAGTCGAATAAGATCCTACGTTTAATATTTAGTATATATTAAACTTTATAAATAAAAATTAAAAATAACGCATAACGAACACAAATATAAGATACAGCTATATCTTATACTCGTTTCCATTACATTTAATTTTTTTATTCCTAACTTTTATTTATAAAATATAATATTTCTTCCTGTTCTTGATATTTTTCCATTCTCATGATATATTTATATAATATGTAGGTATATTAATATTGAATGAAATTTATTAATTATACCAAGAATTTAAAAATAAATTGTTGCAGTAACTGAAAAGTATACAGTATTGAAAAAATATAGATATTTAATCTCTACTATATTTAATTATAGATATATATTTATAAATATAAATATATAAATTTTTCTAAAATACAATATTATTAATATTAATCTAATATAATTAAATACAAATGGCAGATTGGATTAAATAAAAATGTATGCTGGCTAATGAATTTCTATGAAATGATATATCAAATGATATATTTATACTACTAGATTATACTTAGATTAGATTGTACTTACATAAAAATGAACAAGTTTCGAGACATTATACAGTTATACTATACGATCGAGTACTTTTATATTTTATTTACGAATTGTGTTACTTGTTTAATAAAGAGAATATATTGTTAGCGATATTAGAACTTGCAATAATTCTGAATTTTGTAAATTTAGAGTATATGACATACATGTTAGTTGCAAAATTATTTAACGTTCATCATGCTGGAGATAAGCCACATTTTTTTCGATAATCGATAATGATATCAGACAGTATATCTCGTCTTTTGCATAATTTTATAGGGTGCTGCTCGATTATATCGTACACGTATAACGTACTCGTGCGTATCATCTGTATTGGAAGGTACATAATAGCTGGCACTTACAACCACATACAATGTCATGTAACGGCGAGTACTCTGCATATATTATACAACACACACGTGCACACACGTACACACATACACATACTATTTATATAATATACATATATATTTAAGAATGTATTAAATGTTACCAATATGCTAATAATTCTAAATTGCTTGTGAATTAAGTTTGTAGTGACGAAACGATACGATCTTAAAATTATTATCATGTACATATAATATAATATATATAGCGATATTTAAATATAAAAGATAAATATATAGATAATCATACCATGTCGTACGCGTGCTTCTTCTTATTCTTTATTTACTTGAACTTCGTTCGTAAATGACTACAAAATTAAACGCATACAATGCTGTGCTTGATAATTATGAAATCGAGCGTTTTTATTTAAAAATATATATTAAATTTTATCTTTGATGTACAGTAATGTATATAGTAATTATTGTAGAAGGGCACGTTATTTATTTTATAAAATTAATCTTATAACGGGATTCTGTAATGTCAACTGACACTTTAACAGACGATGAAGTATGCGCGATGTAACGATAAAAAATGGATTCGGGAAATGAATCGAGAAAAATGAATGCATGATCGAGCTGGACACGTCAATGATGTATCTTTAAAAAGCCACTCGGAACGGTACATTAATATCGCGAGAGTTCTTGCAACTAATTTGGTATGATGGCCACGGTAAAATCAGGATCCAATAGTTGGGTTTTTGAATAATGAAACCACTGATACACACGCGCAACATGGGTGTACTCCTTTTTGAAAAGTAAATTGATATTTACATCAGTGAAATATGATTGCGGAAAAGACGATCATGACGATCACCTCTTTATCATCTCGTGACGACATTTTATTTTTAATCGACTTTTTCGTTAACGTGTTCGTTCTCTTCATGCTCTTCTCGTTCTAACAACAACATACAAAAGGAACAGTGAGATAATCTCGAGATGCATCTCGCTCACGCTGTTCTGCCATGACTTAGCGAAGTATTTCGAATATTCCTTTTGAAATTGCGCTATACAAAGGCTCGGTTCTGTCTGCAAAAAGACTCGACAAAAAACTTTTGATCCACATTTACGCGCAACGACTGATGGGAGCGGTACGCCTTGATATTGTGTTTTGCCTCGACATTATTTTTCGTTCCTTTCTATTCCGTGACAAAACGATCGGATCGACATCAATGACTGGCATTCGATGTCCCGATACATTTTTGCGGATTTTCTTTAACAGCCACCAACCGACGATATATACCGATGATATTATCGCCATTAATTCTTGACTAGCATGGCAGGATTCATTATAGCTTCTTACATGACTGCATATTTATTATTTATATTTTACTTATATTTTTACTACCATTTGCTCTTTTTATCTTTTATAATAAGATAATCCTTAAAATATTTAAATTTTTTTAAAACACTTTCTTCTTAACAATAATTTAATTAGAGAGATCGATTTTTAATGCCAATTTTTTACATCTTTCATAATACAGCAACAATTTTGCATTGGCACCAATCGCTCTTTTTTACCAGTATATGTGAAAACCCATCAATTATAAAAAGTTTTTTCTCTATTCGGTTTTATATTCCTTTTATATTCCTGATCGGCGCATCTCAATTAAAAAGCTAAATTGCGATAAGGGTGCGAATGCTAAATTGCGATGGAGTTTGCAATGAAGTCACGACATGCAAATTCTTCATATCCACTCGCGAGAGTTTATTTTGCATTTTGCAGAAGCGAGCGCGCGAATAAAAACCATGAGCGGGTCTCGCTGTTAATTAATCGGACCTACCGCCGACCAACAAGACACTGTTACTGATGAACCGATATCGCGTCGGAAAGTGCGTTGCACGCATTCTCTCACAGCCACGGCATTCAGGGCCGCGTGCAAATTTCACGGAGCTTGTAACCAATATCCGAGAAAATATGGAGATTTACTTCTGTCAGCGGCGACGTTAAAGACACGACGAGCACCCCCTTGCCCGCATGTAAGAATTTCGTTTAATTTCTTATCTTTGGCGCGCGGTTTGCGCGAGCACCGGGTAGCGTAGGTGTATCGCACCCTTTTACGAGTACCATTGCGCACCAAGGTTGTTTGTCAGGGTTATCTGACAGTATCCGCGATATAACTTGTGATTTATATCGCAGATAATATTTTAGTCGTGCTTTTAGCGATTTCATAAATTATCAATGTCTCTCAGCTTGCCCTTTGGTGAACCAATTAAACGTGGTGGGGGATACGCATATATTATTGCATCCTTAACTCTCCCCATAAAAAGAGATTCTCTAAAATACATAGATATAAATCGCTTTTATAGCGTGTCATAATTGTGGAAGCAGTTCCTCTGCATATGGTAGAACTTTCAATCATTTGATATCCGATCTAAGAGGTGGTGTACAATCTCAATCGTAAATTAACGTCTTAAAAAGCCAAGTGAATCATAGAAACGTTAGCTTATGGCACAATATTTTCCTTGATATTGAACCAGGATTATCATTCGTTCCGTATTTAATATTACGATATATTTTGAAACGTTATACGTATGAGAGTATTATTTTTCGAGGTTCATTACAATCGAGATTGTCAAGAGCCAATTGTCTAGAAGCAATGTATATATGATAAAATTGAAAACATTTTAATTTAACAAAAGACTAAATTAACTAAATTTTCATTGTTTAATTTTTTTACATCTGAGGATCAATTCTATCTTTCCTATCTCTCTTCATGGATGTATCCAATATTTTTCTTTCGGGGGGAGCTTTTATCAATTCTGTTAACACATTAACAGCAATTTTTTGTGTTAATAAATTGCTTTTTCGAATATTTTAAAGCTTAGAATCTCCTCGTTCCTGATTTTGAAAAATGTTAGATTTTTGTATATTTGCCAATGTAAATTTAACGAACTAATTATGTTATGATAAACTAAGTTATTTTTTGAAAACACATTTTACTTTGCACATTGATTACCGCGCCTGACTCCCTCACTTGCCCTTTTTTGTAATTAATTTTTTAACATTTTTAGACAATCCTACTTGATAGTTGTTTGTCTTTTTCTTCGTAACTTTAACTTTACTGTAACTTTCGTTTTTTTAATTTCAGAGGGAGTTTGAACCTCCCTTCTCCTCTGGATATGCCCATACCTTCCTCCCTTATTCAAGCAAGAATATCCGCAATGGTATGCACGACCTGCGAATGCACGCAATGAATGTACACACGCACGTGATATGCGTTAAGTGTGGAAATGGTGCGGCGCAGCGTTGGTGAACGCGTCGTAACTGAGCGTAAGTTGCGCAGATTCGCGTATAGGCCTATAAAAGTCGTCGCAACGTTTAACTGCGGCGTCTCGGGCATAAACTAGGGGATAAGCGTATTGCTTATATAGTGTAGAAATACTCCACGACCGGGATGTTTGTAGCGCTTTTATATCGTCTCCGAAAGAAGACAGCCTCGTTCGTATAGCTTTCCCGCGGTGAGAGAGCTAGTATCGTCTCGCTGCACCGGTCGCACTGTCCTTCAAAGATCAGAATCGCGACGTCCAGGCTATTCGGATTGGCGGCGCATAGGATCGATAAGGTCCGCTAAGAACAGGATCGACGGTTGAAGGTAGACTCAATCAAATACACAAAGTAGTGTTAACGATGGTGATCTATCGTATAATCGAACATCTCTTTGGATCAATGTCTCATATACGATAATTTGTCAAATGACTTCAGTTTTTAAACCTCAAAATATATGGGAGTTTTATGGAAACTAATGATTGGACTTTTTATTATGTATATATATATATATATATTTATATATTATATTTGCTTTATATCTTGTTTGTTAATGTATATTGAATTTATTGGCAAGAAACAAATATCGCGGCACATGTTCATGTATTACATACGTTTATCTAATACATTTGTTATATGATGTGGTACATATGATTCTGTGAGTTTTTATAAGTTTCTTATATGAACCTGTGTTTATTAGAATATAAAAAAAAATATTAAATATTACTAATGTTTTGCAAT